GCGGCCGTGACTTAATACTGGGCGGGGAGGGGTGGGGACTACAAGTCCCATGGTGCCCCGCGGCGGAGAGGTGTGAGGCGGGCAGGAAGCGCTGGCGGGGAGGGCTGAGGGACGGGATTGTCCCTGTAAATAGAGCCGGGTAAAGCATGAAGCTGGTGAGTCCCTGTAGCGAGGGGCGCCCCGAGGGAAGGGGGGAAACTGAGGCAATGGGGGAGAGGGGAGGGAACCCCTCCGGCGGGTGTGTGTGTGGCGGGGGGAGCGGCCCAGCACTCCCGCAGCGACCGTTAAACGGTCGCTGAGGGGCCGGGTGCGAGGCCGCTGCGTTGCTGAAGGGCCCGCGAGCAGCCGGGTCGCCCCCTCCTTCCTCCGCCATCCATCCCCGCCTGCGGTCTGCGTGCGTTATATCCAATTAAACAGCGGGATTCAGGAGGAGGAGGAGGAGGAGGAGAAGGTCTTTTACTTTCTCCCTATCCTCCAACATGAAGCATCGTCTCGGAGCAGGACCCGAGCCAGCCCATGACACGCGCAGCTCCCACTCTGGAAATAGCAACAAGCCTCCCTGGTTCATGGTAGACCCCATATCCTCTTTTATCATTCCTACAATGTTCATACGTATAGATCTTAGCATTGCACTATGAGTCTGACAAACATTTTGCCTCCAATAGTATCATATTTTAAAGGGAAGGTTATCACAAAACGCGCTACCATGTTACTGACACCTGCTGTATAAATCTCCTTTTTCAACTATTTTAAGTTTTCCAAGGACCTTGGATCCAGCCACTCATTCCTTTTCCAGGAGGAATTGCCTTGTTACACTTGACATGCTGCAATTCTCCACCTGCCAGTGAAAACTGAGAGCGCTTTCAAAATTTCACAGTGTTGATTTTATAGTTACCTTGAAGTTACTGTGCAAAGCCAAGCAGTTCTGTGCGTGTTCATAGCGATCAATATAATGCACGCCAAAAAGCAAGCTGAGAAATGAAATCTTTAAATGAAAACTGTGGTGGAAATGCAGATTGTCTGTTTTGTTTGCACGCTGAGCAGCAAAACCCATCCCCTGTAGAAGGGCAGAGGGGAGACGAGGTGAGAGAAATACAAGCTGTCTGAAATCTTTATTGTAATATTTTTAGGTTTGTCTACAAACTTGGAGGCCAGACCAGAGTCTTTTTCTTGCATTTGCCTTGAATTATGGCTGATGCTGAGGGCTGTGCAGGGAGGAGTTGGATGATATTTCACTCTCTTCTGTCATGTATTTAGGCTGAATTTGGAAGGACAAGGTAGAGGTAAAAGCCTCTGAACTTGAGTGAAAGTGAGAGACTCCCAGATATTCTAATGTGCTTTGGCTCAGGCAAACCCAGTTGCAAATTCCCCCTTAGATTTCAAGCTAGCATTTGATAATAATATCAAAAAATCATTGCAATCTGTGTCAACTTCAGTCAGAATTCACTGGCGTTAACCTGCAAAATCCACAGTGTTTGAGAGCTGCTAGTCTGAGACTTGAGGCCTTTTCTCTGTCACGTTGCCATAAATGAGATCACCAGAGACTCGAGCATTCTGCTCGCCAAGAACAAAACCTCCAGGAGGTTTTTAGTATTTGCAATTAACCCCTTGTCTCAGTCTCTTTGCGCCCCACTCTGTCAAACCATGCCACTTATGAAGCCTGTCAAGGATGTTGTGAGCTGAGGTGGGCATATTTTAAGTATTTCCTATGTGTTTTTTGTCCTTTTTCCATTACTGTTTTTAAATAGGAGAAGCACCTGTTGTGTTAGCCGCGCTGATCATTGGTCATAACAGAAGAAAAAAAAAGCAAATCCTAGTGCAAAAAGGACTTGCCTTTTAGTCAAATTAGGAATATTAGTAACTGGAGTTCCTGGACCTATTTTAAACAGTAAGAGCTATAATTTGTGTGGGAAATAATCTATCACATTTATAGCACCTGGAGAGATAAATATAATGCAGACATTACGATTCCTGGATTCATATCCAAAAAAGTCTAATTGTTCAGGTCCAGAAATGTCACATGTACAAATAGCTGCACAACACATATAAAGGTTTTTGGGTCACTTTACATGAATCTGGTAGAAAGAGTCCACTGACATGCAGGAATCCACTTGCTACAGCTTGGCAGTGAAATACAGATTGTACTAGATGCTGTTACAGAAGGCAAGAGGAGGATTTTCCAGGTAGCTTGCAGATGTTATGGGCATAATCTGAGTCACAGTTTAAAACAGAGCAAGAAAGTGCTCTGCTGATAGAAGTGGTGATATTTCACTGCTTTTCTTTTTATTATTACCAATAGTTTAGAAGCTATAAAAATAATTTAGATTTCTTCCCCTCGTTTCTTTCTCTTTACTTCAGTTGTACCTTCAGTTGTCGAAGTTCTGGTCTGGTGAAAACTTAATTTCCCATGCAAATTTGCATTCACAAATCAACAAAATTCCTTACATATATTCCCATTCCTCCACCAGCTTGGTTTCTAAAAGTTTTCTTAAATTACAAGCAAGCATAGTGTCGCTTTTTAATAACTAAGATTTTATGAATCTCAAAGCAAAAACCCTGGCGATTATTTTTAATTTACTATTTGGGGTTTAATAGCTTTTTAGCATTTAAATATAATTTAAAACTGTTTTTTGATGAAAAACTTTGAGATGCAAGATCTTGTATTTGAGATGCAAAATCTCTCATTCTTGCAGTCCTTGAAGATGCACTCAATTCCCTGCCAAAGAAGAGACACCTTCACATTAAGCTTGCCACACGCTCTGGAAACATTTAGTTTTTCACTCCCACTTACTAAAGATGACATTTTTATTCACTTTTCTCATTCCAAAACTTCAACCACTTGTGTTCATTGCTAAATATTTGGCATTCTCCATATAAGAGACAACTGCATCTCCATGTCACTCAGTGCCCCTGTACATAACCTTCTTACTGGCTCATTAACCTGGAAGACATCTGGGATTTTTCAGTACACAAACCGCTCCATTCAGGTAGAGCCATCCAGTCCCTGGGGTTTCCTGTCTGCATTTAGCAAGACAAAAGGCAGGTAAGAGCCTGCCCCAGAGCTGCTGCTTCTGTGCACATGCACAGCTGAGCTGCAGCAGCCGTGGGCTGCTCCTTGTTTGTGTGATTAGCCTGATTGCTTTAGGAAATAAATCTTGGAGGCTGTAGGGCTTCTCTCCCTCCCTTTCCTCCCCAGGCAGTTTTCAAATTCTCTAGCTGATTTCCAACAGGTTCAGGACTGAGTTTTAAAGATACTAATTTCCACAGGAGTTTTGTAGAAGTAAGTGGTGTTAGAGGAGGGGAACTATATTATTTTCTCTCCTCTTGTTAAGATCAGAAAACCTGGACAGAAGAGACTCTTCCTCTTAATACTTTGGCTTGGGGAAAATGCCAATTAACACACACAGTTGTGAGACAAGCAGATTTCATTTTGGTGCTCAGGAAGCTACCTCTTGTTTAAAAATTAGGAGAAAAAGACCATTGTCAGGCCCGTTGCTGTGTTGATAAAGCTCACGGTCAACTCGTTCTCATCTTTTCCTTTCAGTACTGCCTCTCAGGACATCCAACGTTACCATGCAACGTGCTCAAGTTCAAATCCACCACCATCATGTTGGATTGCGGGCTGGACATGACATCTACCCTCAATTTCCTCCCCTTGCCGCTGGTTCAGAGGTAAGTTCTGTGGCCCGTCAGCGCTTAGGCTGGGTCTTCTTGGGTTGCAGTTGAAGTGCTCTGTGTAAAATGGGGAACTAGGAGGAGGGAGCAGATGAGCACAAATGAGCAGCATCATCTGATATCATAAATAGACTTTGTTCACTTAAAAATTCTCTTTATCAAAATAACGTCCTTTGGCTCAGTAGACGGAAGGCATTTTATGGATTTATTGATTGGTTTTTCGAGATAATTTATTCTGAGCTTCAGTAAAGTATTGCTGCAACTGCTCAGCACAAGTGAGGTCACATATCTGTCATCTTTCTGGCTTCTTCATGCAAGATGAGATAAATGGGTAACTGAGATGGCGTGCGTGGAGCCCAGTAAGCAGCATGTAACCACCCCCTGCTCAGGCTTTTCTTCAGAGCATGGATAATGCAAACAGTCCTCCTCAGCCAGCTTGAAGGCATAATTGTCCCCTTTTCAAAATTAAATAAAAGGGCAGTGAAGCTGGACACAGGAATGGAATGGCAGGGACATTGTCCTGTTTGCCCAGAATGCCATATGAAACGGAGCCTAGAACTGAATCCTGAAATCAAGACTCTTGCTTCAATGCCACAACTGCAGAGTATTCCCTTCCCAGGTTTGTAGCTGGCTTTGGATGTTCAGTTAAATGGTTTATATCTTGCATAAGATGGAACAAGTTAGAAAGCTGTGGCTTGGGGAAGTGGATATGAGTAACTCTTCGGTGGTAGGAAACTAGTGAGAGTTTGGTATCCTTGAGCCACAAAAATGTGGCTTGTTCTGGACTCAGGGGAGGCTTTGAGTGGAAGGGAGGGGAGGTTATGGGACCAAAGGGAGTTCCATAACTGACCTAAACCTAGTGAGGTCAAAGCAGTTGTCCAGCACCTCCTGTCAATTTTGTCCTCTTGGAGGTAAGAAAAATAGACAACAAATTCAGTGTTCTGTGAAACGTGGAGCTCCAGATGTGGTGTGGAGAAGGTAACAGGTACCACAAGACAAATCAGTGCAATAGCTGATTTTTGTCCCATTCCAAAATGTATTTGCTAACAACAAAAACCAGAGGCACTAGTAAATTTTGAAAGGTTCCTGAAAAATTGGGGAATTCAGGTACAGCCAGAGATGCATTGCATTGCTCCCCCTGCTTCCATCCAGTGCCTTCTTCCATCCTTCCCTGCTGCCCGCTTCTCCAACGCCAATTAAAAAAAAAAAAAAAACAGAATAAGTAGAAAAAGTAGGGAATGGAACAAAAGCTTAACAGGTTCTTTAGAAGGCAGGCAGTGCTCCCCCAGGGTATGTGAACGCTGCTAATAGCAGACCCTGGGAATGAGCAGCCAGATTGCAGGTCACAACCTGGAATTCCCCCAGTACCTCCAGAATGTCTGCCCTGAAATGCCTCAAACTCAATAAGGAAGGATGTCAGATTTGACCCCTGATGGCCCAGCAGAATGGGAGCAAACAGTTGGATTTAAATCCAATCAATCTTGTCTGTGCAGTGATTGAACGCCCCTTGCAGCAAGAGTTGTCCAAAACACATGGACTTGGGCAAGAAATTGATCTCTCCAGAACTCCACAAAACAGATGTGCTTCAGGGAGTTACAGAAATGCAGCAGAAACTCAAAGAAGAACGTGCCTGTAGCTAAAAAGTCCTGATATCTCTGTAGTACTTCTGTTAGTGCCATTTTGTGCCTGGTTTCTCTTACCAGGATGCCTGAACACGTCTTCAGTGTGTATTAGCAACACAATAGCCCCGGGTGATGGAGACATTATCGCTGGTTTCCAGATGAGAGACGAAAGGTGGGACCTGAGGTCTCACATGAGGCTTGTAGCAGAGCAAGAGCTCAAAATATGTCTTGGATCTTAGGTTGTTAACAGCTCCTTTTCCTCTTACAGGCTGGAGTGTTTCTTCTTGCAGCTAGACTTAGGTGGACCTGTTTTAAACCTTGACCTTGCAGGGAGAGATCTTTTCCTCTTACAGGCTGGAGTGTTTCCTCTTGCAGCTAGCCTTAGGTGGACCCGTTAGGTGGGCCTCTTGCAGCTAGCCTTAGGTGGGCCTTGCGGGGAGAGAGCTTCTCCTGCTGTTTTTTAAGCTCCCCAGATTTGGCCCAATGAACCATTGGGTCCTGTAAAACCACTGTTAGTGCTGCAAAGATGCCCTAATTTTAACCTCTGTGGAGCAGAAAGGTGTAACGTTACAGAGGATCTTTGCTGTGCTGCTAGAGCCTGTGTCCTGCCTGGCATGGGACTCTCCTTGAGCAAACATTTTGAGAACCTGTGCTTTAATCTGCGAGAGACGAAAGAGCTGCAGTGTTTGTCTCATTAAAGGAGTTCTTTACTCTTCAAAAAGACCCATCAAAAGGCATTTAGATTCTACCTTGTTCCGGAAATGGCAGTCTGCTTCTCACCAGCCAGTGGTAAATGTGCAAAATTCCTGCAGCTGCCAAACACTTCATGCCAGTTCATGTACTTCAGAGCAAGTTTGTCAGCTGGAATTTTCTCCCCTATGCCAAAGTCAAATGCAAAGTGGCAAAATGAACATGTGGGAAGCTCTTAACCTTTCCTGTCTAGCAGTGACATGCTTGCTCACATTATTTATGTGACAGTTCTAGCTATTTTAGATTAATCAATCACTCCATTACAATGTCAAAACTATGTCTGCAGAAACTTTACCTTGGCTTCAGGGTAAAGAGTCCTTTCTTCCCGATGTCACTTGCTCTGCTTTCACCCACATTCTCAGGACCATCTCCCAGTTTTGCTTCCCTTGACAAAATCATTCACTCTTCTGTGGATACCAGGTTTAATACCAGCCAACAGTGCTCTCTCCCCATGAACAAGGCAAAACACAGTGGGCTAAATCTGGAGGAATTCAACCAGTGCATCCAAGGAAGTTTATTTCTCTCTGCCTTGTGCTGTTGAGACCTGGGTTCAGGTTTGTATCCCCGGTTCAAGAGAGGTCCTAGAAGCTAGAGCGGGTATTCGGGAAGCTCCAAGAAGGTCAGGGCTCTGGAGCCCATTGGTTTATCCTAGCAGGGAGAAGGATCCCTGGAGAGGCTCTGGAAACTGCCTCTGGGGATGTGCAAGACTCAGCTAGACAAAGCCATGGACACTGTAGGTGAGGGCTCTGGACTAGTGATCTTTAGAGGTCCCTTCCAACCAACCTTTCTTTCCTCATGTGTCAAAGCTGTTGCACATCAGAGTGGTTTGTTCCTGCCTTCTGTCAGCTCTGCACTCAGCTCTTCGGCTTGTTCCAGGCAAACTTTCCTCAAACATCCCTGTCTCCAAAACCCTGCACCCAAATTGGGCTTTTGAACATGTCAGTGGGGGTACATTTATCCACTCATCTTTCTATGGCCAGACTTTTTCAGAATTGCTTTTTGTCTTCAAAAGGGCTTTGCATACTTCTTGCATCGCCTCACCTGCTGCTGCTTGTTCTGGATCCTCCTGCTCTTACTTATCTTCTCTCTTCAATCCTTCAGATTCAACTTCCTTTTTTCCTTCCTTGTGATTTTTGGAGTTCCAGTTCAGCTAGGTCTTTTACACTAATGTTAATCTGAACATAATATCCCTCCGAGACATTGAATCTCCTCCTCTTTTCAAGATCTTAAGTGTGAATTCCCTTTTAGCAGATGATTTGCTACCTCTCCACAGCGTTTAGTGGAAAGCACTTGCAGATTTCATTGCAGCCAGGTTCTCTATCAAAATCTGAAGTAGTTGAAGGGCTAGATTTTAGGTAAGTTCAATTCTTTTAATTTTATTTCCTTTCTTTTCCATTCTTTAAATTTCTGTGGATATGCTTAAATCCATACAGACAGTGATATACACCTAAGTTAAAGACTCATTCAAAAATCAGGTATCAAAATAAATTATCAATAGTGCCTAAGGTAATGGTAGCAAGAGATGTCATAATCACAATTTCTAATAGTCATTTCAGTGATCACTCAAGCCCAGTGAAACTGTCTATTTTATTGTTAGTTCCAGGGCACAGAGATGGTGTTCTCTTCCTGTGTGACACCAAGTACAAAGTCCGTGCTTAATGAGTAATAATGATATTGTTTGTTTTTTTTTCTCCCTCTCTCTCTGCAGCCCCAGGCTCTCAAAACTTCCTGGTTGGGTTTTGAAAGATGGAAGCACGTTTCTGGACAAGGTAATGTAGTGATGGTTAGAATTGTCTTGCCATGCAAAAAGCCATCTGACGGGTTTGAAGTCTGCACTATAGGAACAATAATTCTGTGCCAACCCATTACAAAGTTTTCACTTTGCACCGTTATCAGCCAGGATGTCCTTGTGGAGCAGAACCTTTTGAAACAAAATGCTAATAGCGACTTGAGGCTTCCAGTCTTCAGAGGTAGCCTAGCTTTTAAAAAAATCCTTTTAAAATGCAGAAATTGTCAGTATGAATATTTTCTTATTTCACAGAGCTCCATAAATAATAGCACTTTGCCTTTGTGCAGCGTCTTTTATCCCACAAGCTCATTTTTCTGACACTAAAACTTCATAGCTTACTTGTAAATTAGGTTAGTATCATCTCCCTTTTTTGATAGGAAAAGGAAGAGAAAGTGAATGGTTTGCCCATGGGAGGTCTGTGTCAAAGGAAAAGCATGACTTTGGCCTCTGTTGAAGTCAACATGTGTTCTGCCAGTGGACGTAGCAGGGAGGATTTTATCTTCGGCCTCCTAGTCCTAAGACACAGGCCTTACCCAGCTGCACCAGAGACACAGAATCTTTCTTTGTTTCTCCCTCTTTTCATTACGTTAGTTTTGGAGCCAGAATTTATCTGGGACTTCAACTGAAAGTAGACAGTGCAGCATGCAGCTTGGACTGCTATAGAGGCACAATGAGCATAAAAATATGTCAGATGTTAGTAAAATAGGCAGATACATTTCAGATGTATGTAGCAATAGATATCAGGAGAACAAGTACTGTTTTAATAGACTGTTCTCCAACTATGTGAACATTAAAGGGAAAACAGTAATAATAGATGCTTTTGTAGGGGCCTTTGAGATGGACAAAACTGGTTGTTCTGATTTTTGCAGCAAGGGAGCTGAAGACCACAGATTAAAGACCCCATTTTTCTTCTCATTGGAAACAAAAGAAACTGGATAGGCAGCACTTCTGTTAGCAAAATAGCAACAACTCTATTCAGACCCCATGCTAACTGGGAATTGCAGAGCTACAGAGCTGCCCAGCTTGAGTGCCCTGGACCTCATTTCTCCTAAAACCCAGCCTTGTGGCCCTTCAGAGCCCACGGCCTTCAAAAATACCTGTCTGCTTATGTATTTTCTACAGTATCTTCCCAGCAGACCCTGCATAGGCCATATTCTGTCCAAAGAACTGATAGGCTGTCAGTAACTTCTTACATGATATTTTCACATTTCTCTGGTACTACAGTATATGCAGAGGAGATTCTTCAAGCTGGTGCAGTGTCAACAGAAATCACGTTTTAGAAATTCAACAGCAGCATCTCTTTCTTTCACCTTGACCATTGTAACTGCTTGGAATGGCAAACACTTTGACCCGTGCTGGAAAAAGGAGGGGAAAGGAGTCAAAGGAGGATGTTTTATCATGTCGGGTGGACATTTCTGTTACTGCACTTGCTGCATGGAAGTTATAAAACTTAAGTTCTGGAGAGGCATTGAAGTTCACTACGATCTAGTTTTAATCATTTTGAACTCCTCTGAGATGAGGTTAGGAGACTTCTGCCACTGGATGTAATTGCTCATTCGTTATTAGTTGGCAGGTGCACTGTAATTATTAAGAATTGGATTCAGTCTTTAATTCTGTCATCTGAAGCTGGCTGAGACCACTTGCTTTTGGGACAAGCAAGAGAAGTATCTACAGAAGATGGCAAAGTGTGGGTGACAGGTAACCTGTGAGGCCTGTTAGGATTCAATCTGAGAATATTATTGTTTTGGTCTTTTCCTTACATAATCCTGAAGAATGAGGCTGTTCATTTGACAAGGATTTCTAATGAGTCAGCCTCGGCATCATAAGAAATCAGAGAGGAAGAAAATAGAGAATCAGCAATTCACTATAGATAAATCCCACAAAAAGTGCTACAGAGAGCTTAGATCCCTAAAAGATGTTTAGTAAACACTGTGCACTCTCCTGTGTAATATTGGGTTGTGTTTTTGTTTGTCATCTCTTATCCACTGATGTGCTTCTGCCACAGGAACTCAAGGAGTGCTCTGGCCACGTGTTCGTAGACTCTGTGCCTGAGTTCTGTTTGCCAGAGGTGAGTTTAATCAAAACCTTATTGAAAAATATGACTCCATTCAGTCATGCAGGACAATTTTGCTAAGTCGCTATAACCAGATTCATGCTGATTTGTTACTGCTTAGTAAATAATAATACTGAAATCTCTGTGTTGTCAAGGCTGTAATATTTATGGTATTGGGAAAGGTTAGAAACAGCCCTTTTAAACAATAGTTTTAGGACATCTAGGAGATCTAGCAGATTGGTATCTCACAGAAGAACACAAAAGATTTGACTGTCCCTTTTTTATGGGCCTTCCGAAGACAATATGACGTGGCTTTGACTGAGCTGGACTCAAATATGACAGGATACATGTGCCGATCTAGATAAGAGCAATGAAGGAAGGCAAGAAAAGCTGCTTGTCTCTAGCTGCAGACCCATGTCCTGCCTGGTGGAAGTCCCCAGGGAAACCTACAGTCTGATTAAACTACTTCTTGGTTGCAGTCACACACGGTGTTCTGCCTGAAGCAAAATTGGGTTAAAAAATGACTGCCTACATAGCTATTAATCACTGCCTCTGTGAGGGAGGATCCATACGCTTGTATCCGCTCGCATAGCTGTGCAAGTAACTAATGGTCAGGCTCAAGAATACCCAAGTTTATAAAAAGGAAAGAAAGCAAAAAATGAACTGAGCTTACACTCACTGGATTTTCAGGAATAGTCTAGGGATAGAGTCCTTTCTACTCACTGTGCTCAGGCGACGATAACATCAGTTCCTGCATTGGATGTTGGGATGTTTTCCCTGTCTTTGAAAGACAGAAATGATTGCCTTTGGGCAGGGATTTCTTTTTCTGCCTGAGCTTGTTGAGAGGAACTGCAAAGCACTCCTAGAGGATTGCTGTAAGCTTGCTTGGGTTCTGGCAATGATGGGTTTGTCTGTTGATTCTTAGAAATTCACGATTTGTGGCTTCCAACTCTTCTCATGCTGCTTCTTTGAAGCAACCCGGCAGCTCTGGTGCTGGTTTTGGCAAGTGGTATCAGCAGATTTGGGTAGAATTGGTGTTTCTTTCCCAAAAGGAACAGACATGATTCCATCACACACACACAAAATAAAACAACAAAAAAAACCCACTCCCACAACAGTTTTTAAAAAAAAAAAAATCACGACTAATAATTCTGGAGTGCTGTCCTGTGGGATCAAAGAGACAAGAAATAAAGACTTCCCTGTAGCAGGGCTGTAGAAAGTATCCTTATGCTCAGAAAGTGCCTTTACGCGCCAAATCTTGGGAAAAGTCAAATTTGGTTTGTGTTCCCTTCGGAGCTGAGCCTGAGTGATAATCTGCCAGCTTTTGGGGTGCTTGAGCTAGTCTTGCTGCTTACTTTGTTGGGCTGGAAAATACCCCCATCTTGAGCTCTAAGTAGGACTGATGGAGAGTTACTGCCTCATTTAGGGTACCGGTGTCATCACTGAATGTTTTCTAGAAGTCTGTGTCATAACTAGAATATAACAGCCAGCCACAGATCACAGCTGTAGGGTTTTATAAACAGCCTCTCAAATGCTTCAATTCCCTAAAGTTCCCGAAGGTGCTCAGCATTCCCTGCAGGTGGTAGGAATGGATCTATTAGTGATCCCTAGCTCTTTTATAAACAGCCTCTCAAATGCTTCAGTTCCCCAATGGATCTGTTAGTGATCCCTAGCTTTCCTCTCCTGCTTCACAGGCTCCCCTGGCTGGAGGTAGGTTCAGAAGTCATGACCAGCTGAATGTGTGAGCAAAGCAGAAATGTTGCTCTTGTGTGGCTGTAAGGAGCTGGTATGAAAGACATTTTGTCTTCGTCTCCTTCCACGGCTCTCCTTTTGAAGAAACTTGTCTGCAAAAGCAGCTTGTTTGAGAATCATAGTATCACTTCCAGGAACACCATTGCCAAAGAAAGCCAAATTTTGAATGTAATCCAGAAGCCACAAGGTGATAAGAGGCTGCCTCAGCAGCAGAGTACACTTTCTCGTGTCAGAGTGCAGGGTGCAGCCCTTTCTTTGCTTGGCAACCTTCGTGTCTCCACATTCAGGAAACATTTTTAAACCTCTTCAGTTCATAGGCACTTTCAGGGAGATTACTGCAAGGTCCCAGAGAATATTTTAGATTTGTTTTGATTTTGACACCCTTTTCCTCCTATTGGTAAATGCTTCTAAGGTGCTGAGAAATAGGACACTTAAATTTGCAAACTGGTAGACTGGATCCTGCATCTTTCCAACTTCTGATGGGTTGTTGTGCTGGGATTCAGCCCGGTGCTGTGAGTGACTCCCTGTTTGGGTCTGTGTGGCCTAGATGTGACTGAAAAGCGAACCTTGAACAGCCAATTGGATAGAAGGTAGTGTCAGCAGACTCCTTGACACCATGTAATGTATATTTGGCAAGTTTGGTAAGATAAAAAGGTCCCTGACAGGAATCTAGGGGTGATATTTCACCCACTGAACCTTGAGATCATGTCTTCAACATCAGCCGGGCTCATGGATGGAAACCAGGCACGCTTACATGGGAGTTAAGCAGCTTGTCACCAGAGCACCATGTCAGCCCTCTGAAAAGACGAGTGACCTACTTTCTTGCCATTTTTATTCAAATTGCTGGACCAAGTCTTGTAATCAGATAATATGTGCTTGATGAGTGTTGAATTCCATTAGCTGCTCTATAATAACTGAGTTAGAGGTCATATATCTTGTAAAGTTCTGACTTGACACCGTTTGTGTTATAGCATTACCAGTAAATATTTCTAATTAAAATTCCTTTAACAATGTGTGAAATCTTCTCCTTTCACTCTCGGAGCCGCTGTCTTAACTGTCACATCAAAACAGACTGGACCCACCCGTCTGTTTTCTGATATCAAACGAATGAGCTTAATCTCTTGCTGCAGAAAATGTGAATGATAACGATACAAGCCTTTAGTTTGGGGAAAAAATGTATGAATTATGCTAAGTATAGGAATGAATAGGATCTGCTTTCTCCTCTCTCTCGCTCTTCTAGGGTCAGTACCGTGCGCTGCATGAAAAATATGTGAGCCCCCCTGCTAAACAGCTAGTGCTCAAGTTTTGGTGACTGGGTGGAGTGTTTCCCCCTGCGACATCAGACTTATGATAAAAGTGTAGTCACGATGTCTCTCTCAACAGCAGCCATTTCGTTACATGAAAGACACTCTCAGGACATGGTGTCCTGCTCAGCTCTGAGGAAGAAGTAATTTTGGCTTTTTTTGAGTACTCTTGTCAATTTGAAGGAAACGTTAATCTTTGTCACTGCTGAGATACACCCCTTTGGATTAGAACAGTTACACTTTTGTAATATCAAGTTAGTTTATTTAAAAAAAGGAAGTATTTTCCTGTCAGTGCTCAAACTGTACGAAAGGGTTACATGTTGCTTATCTCTTTCCTCTGTTTTCAGACTGAGCTGCTCGACCTCTCCACAGTAGACGTAATCTTGATCTCGAACTATCACTGCATGATGGCATTGCCCTATATCACAGAGTGCACAGGATTCACTGGAACAGTGTATGCCACTGAGCCCACTGTTCAAATTGGCAGGTAAAAAGCCCCTTAATATTCTCTGCTCCTCTTTCATCACTGCTAAGGAAAAGGTGTAAAGGACAATATGGGCAGAGTGTGGTGTCTAATGTTCCGAAGAGGCTCTTAGGCAGTAGCTGAAAGGCAGCCAAGTCTGTAGTGCTGCAAATGTGTTAACTCAGTGTTTCCCAAGCTCTGGAACACGCTGTCTGCAGCCCTGGCAGCAGCTGCTTTGAGTCCAGGCAGTGCTGGTCATGTAGTAGATCGAGTGGACTGAGACATCTTGAGCAGCACTTGCCATACGGCCAACCTCAAACCTTCAAAGCCCAGGAATCAAGGGTGTCTCCTCTCTGCTCCCATTAAACAAAAGGGGAAACACCCGGCTCTAAATCAACATATGTCTTTAGGATGATAGTTCTGTAGCTTTTCATCCTTTGAAATTCATATGCTTAAGCTTTCTTTCACATCATAGAAGGGAATTTAAACTGTTTATTTCAAATAACAGTTGAGATTCCCTTGTAAGCTGTTCCAAAGAGGAGATGCTCTAGGAAAAACAGCATAAATGTGAGACTGAAGTAGAAATGTAAGACCTGGCAATGATGTCAAAACTTCATATTTGCTTATCTATTTTGAAGACTTTTCTTCAGAAAACCAAGTTGTTTGCTGACTTCGATAGCTCAGCTGCCACTAGTAAAGGCTGCAGGTTTGGGCCTCAGTGAAATCTGGCCAGACGTGTGGGTGCAGAGCAGCTTCCATGTTCAAAAAGTCGAGACCAGAAATTAAAATTAGAGACCAGAAAATTAAACCACGATATCTGAATTACTGCTTCGTAAGCACTTGAGAGCAGGAGCTTTTATCCATTAAAGGTTCTATACAAAATTCTCAGGGAGTGATTCTCCCTCTGTGTAAAAAAAACACAAAACCAGAAGGCCCTTGAAGGAAATTCTGTCATTTTGCAGTTAAATCTATCACTTCCTGCCTTCCAGGGGAAGCACACATACAATCACAAATGCTGTTTAATACCAGGCAGTAAGATTCCAGTGAAATCTGTAGTGCTTGACATTTTTAATGCCTGACATATTTTTCTGTCTCAAATTGTGCGATTGTAGAGGAGGAGAATTCACACTGCCAATGTGCTTGGCATCTCTTAGTGATAAGCAGGCATCAGCGACCAAGTAATGTCTCATTCCTTATGACAAGCAGTCAGTTACCTAGAAATCACCTTGCACAGCAGGAGGGAGATTTGGGAATGCTTGTTTTCCTGCGACCTGGCAGTATTGGAGTAGCTTGAGCTCAGCTGGGAAACAGGGAGAGTGGTGAGGGGTGATTGCTGGGATGCTCTGCAGGAAGAGCCCCTCTTTAAAACTGCCTGCTAGTGTGTGATGTTTTGGAAGCGTTTGGCACAAAGTTATCTCCTGCTTGAAAGCCTATGATGGGCATTTAGTTGTGGCGTCTTTCAGGCTTCTCATGGAAGAACTGGTGAATTCCATTGAACGGGTGCCAAAGGCTCAGTCTGCCTCCATGTGGAAGAACAAGGAGGTCCAGAGGTAAGGAGCAACCCACTTGCACAAGGGACTGTCCTAAACCATTGGAATCCAACCCATGGATGGAATTTACTGCAATGATAGATCGGCTGCCATCATTTCAGATCTGATTTGCTACTGCCCTTAAGGAGAAAAAGAAATTTAAGACAAATACAGCAGTGGCTGCCTCCTTGGCTCTTTTCTTTCCTTTGCACATTGCTGATCTTCCAAAAAACCACACCAACTTCATTTTGGAGAGAGACTTAGTAACATACAATCCTCCCTCTGGTCTTCCCCCACCTGACTTAGATCCATGTTGGTGAATAAAAACAGCAGATTTTTGCGTTAACATCTTACAAATATTGAAATCAGCAAGCTGTTTAAATGTAATTATATTGTAATGGAATAATCTTCATTTAAATTTATGTTTACATTCAAGTTTGCTGAAATGCTAAAAAAGTCAAGCCACCGAGCTGGTGGAAGTCACTGGTAGCCATTCTGCCACATCCCATGTCTTTGCCATGCCCATAGTCCCTCTTGCACTTGAATGCAGAGTTTGGTTTTGTTGTTTTGCTTTGATTCAATCACTTAAAAGCAATTTGAAATTTGAAAAAAAAGGAACACTTGGAAAGTCTGTCTCTACATAAAAAGGTGCTGAAAATTAAGATCTTGTGTCTCTAAAGTTTTGAAAACCTATATAATCTGAACATTATCAGTCCAGTTGATTAATTGCAGATGATACTTTCCTTGCAAATAAGTTGATTTTGGATTTACAACATGTTCTACAGAGGAGAAAGTTTTGTTGCTGGCATATTTTAAAAATAGGGCTGGTTAATCAGAAAGTTATTTTAAAAAGCTGGTTGAGCATTTTTAATTGAGCTCTTATTTTCTATTCCTATTTCTTAATGTAGCTTGATTTAAAAGTTTACTAAAAATGGATTCTCTCATATGTTATAAAAGTAGTGTTGCCATTTTCCAGTATAACAAAGCAAAGAGTTTAAAAGTACAAATTAAGATTTGTTTAGCCATGTATTATACTCCCTGCTAAGTACAATGTTAAGTCATCCTTGCAACTCACTTTTTTTAGGGAGGTAAAACCCAGATATAAAACACAACTAAGGACAATGAAGTTGATCAGTGTAATTATTCCCATCACACTAGTGCATGTATTTTCTGCCTGTGGTTTGAAGGAGGGTCATAAATGTAGAACTCATTTACTGTTGCTTTCCCAATGGTCGTATTGTAGGAAAACGTGCTCTCTCACACTTGAGGTGTTGGTGACTGTTCCAGAAGCACCACAGAGAGATGATCTTTGTGCTGAATCATCCCGTGGAGGTACAAGGTGTAAGAGGCCACCTTGAGATGAACAGGACCAACCTTTCTGTCCCATTTACCAGACCTTTGTAGAGCCCAGAGCACTGGCAAAATACAAACTGGTTGGAAACCTTCTCCAGACAGCAGCTCCCACAGCTTCCAGAGGAAAAATGCCTGATTTGCCCAAATATGGGATAGAGGCAAAGCAAAGAACCACTACGCTAGTGGGGACAGTCAAACCTAACTAACTAGTTACCTAATTAGTAGACATGCCCTGCTAGTTAAGTCTATGTAGCATCAGCTCTGCCTTGTGGCTGCTCTGAACCTGTGTTGCCTCCGAGCTGGAAGAGGGGACAAATCCGAGTTCTCTTTCCAACGTTGCCCCACCTAAACTACGAGTTTCCCACTTCCACCTCCCTCTACCTCCATAATGTGGAGTTTCCATCCACCATACAGGTTATAGAGGGGCTTAATTAATGTTCACCAAGCGTTTGAGATTCTTGGTGACAAGTGTCATGCAAGCGTGAATGGAGCTGATGATTACAGCACGTGAGCAGACATCTCCTGATCCTCGAATTAACACCTGGCTAAGAGCACACGCAGGCTTGGGCTGACACCATTATTTAATAAAATGAGATACTTGGTGATATTTTTAAATGCTTGGCTGTTGCAAGAACAGAATCCTTATTACTTTTGAGTGAAACTTTTTCAGGCTGATCAATCACTGTTATTGCTTTACAGTTCAGCTAGTTCTACTCTGAACAGTTAGTATAAAACACAAAGTATTATCATCTCCATTAGATAAAGCACGGAAACATTTTAAATGCAAATACTGTATAAAATATAATAAGTTCATTATAGTGGCTTATGTTTCTCCATTATCAGCCCGAGTCTGAACTAATTGCTTTGGAAGTTTTATTACCAATGGTTCTTGTTTCAAACGAGCAGTCTTGTGGAGGCTTTTTAGATGCTCAGCCAAGATGTCTTTCATACTGATTATGATTTGGGAACTAAGGGGGGTCTTTGCCACATGGAAGATGCTTCATTGACTACCCATTTGGTGGCTTCTTTTCTCTTTCTCTGAAGTGCTTGGAGCAGATTGTTTCCTGGGACAGAGTGGTGGACAAGACAGTCCTATGGTCTGATCCAGCTTGGTATTGCACTTCTTCTTTCCCTCCTAACAGGAACGCTTTAAACACTGAATGCAATCCTTTGCACTGAACAGGAGGGAAATTGAATCTCTATAGGTGCCCCATTAAGAATAGCAAGTACCTGAGCTTCCTAAACATGAAGTTTCTATACTAACTACTGGACCATGCAGCTCCTCAGTGCCTCTGTGTTTGTCCCTGCATCTATCTCCAGGCAGCTGTTGTGAGATGATCCTCAAGAAGTTGCTTTTTGAAGCCATGTTAGGAAATTGAGTCCAGGCTTCAAAATATCCTTCAGTGACCTCCTGTAAGGAAGAGATGGATTGAATCCTAGCGGGGTGATGTGAGAGGAACCAGCAGCCCTCACTGTCTCTTATGTGCTGCTCAGCCAAGAAAGAAACCACTGGAGCAGTGATCCTGCTCATCTCTGTTGGGGAATCAGAGGATATTTAAAGCGCAGCCACAGAGTCCGAGGCTAATAGAAAGTTACTTCCATCACCAAGGACAATTCCCCACTTTTCTCCATTACCTGGGAGATTCTCTTCTGGGAAGAGAAGCTACTTAAAGCATCCAACACTAAATGCTTCTTATGGTAGGTTAGAGGCTTTTACAGGCAATTTGCTTCGGGGAGATGGTGGACAACTATCCACATTGTCTGGCCTTTTGTTGCTTATGACTTCCCCAAAAAGGCCTAGGACGTTGTGTTTGTTTCCCTAAGCAATGCACTTCCAGGCAGCATGTGCTGGAATTGCAGTTATCACACTAGACCTGGGCAGCAGTCTTGGCAAGAGCTGGCCCCAGTCCTTCCTTTGGTATCTTAAATTATGGAGGAGTTCACTGACCTAGTAGATATAACAATAAATTAAGTTCCTTTAAACAAATTGATCAAAGAAACTTGACCAATTTTCATAAATCATTGGAAATTAGTCTGAATTAGCCTTTGATTTACCATTGGTTTAATATACCAAAAAAAAAGAAAAATCCTATTCTTCTTATGCATTTGGCAGCTGCTTCCTGCCTCAGTTCATGTTGCTAAGGAAGATTTATTCCTCAGAAGTTACCATCTCTCTTAGAGCCTGTGACATTACACTTCACTTCTTTCCTTGACGACGCTGTCCAGCTAACTTGCAGTGTCCGTGAGTAGGGGAATGGATGGTGTAAAACATCTTAAATACTTCCTTGTAAGGGATCTCAAAGTGGTTTGCAGTGTCAGCTAGTGCATCCTTGCCAATGTGCTCCGAGGGCAAGGGATGTGTCTGAGCTGCAAGCACAGAAACGGAGGTGCAGGGGTGTGTGCTCCTGGAAGACACTTATGACAAGGCTGGGAGCAGAGCTGGACTTTGCTCATGATCTGGTGCCTATATTTTAGCCACTAGATTGTGGCAGTCTTCACTTGTTTCAAAAAAAAATTTAGTTTTATGTTCTGGGACATACAAAATAGATGCTTCTCGAAGAGCCCAGTCATCTACCTATTCTATTTGTGATTTTCATATTGCCATTTCAGATCAGGCAGCACTTCTCAAAGCTGCTGAGATTGCCCCAAGAGCTGCTCTAGCACCTTCATCACAGCTACTTCTCTGAATAGGAGCAACCACAAAGGGAGCTGAAGGAGAGCAGTGTTGGGGTTGACTCAAAATGGGCAACGTGGTTCTGATATTCAACAGCCAGAATGTCTCGCTCCTCACTTTGGACCACCAAGCATATTTAAGAAAGTATAAGAAGAAAAAATAAAGGAAAATTAAGATGTGGAGAGAAAAATTGGCATAAAAACTGGTGGTCTTCCAGGAATCTCTGCAAATGCCCTGTTCATGTTGATGGTTGCAGGTTGCTGCCCGCCCCTCTGAAGGATGCAGTGGAGGTGTCCATGTGGAGGAAGTGCTACACCATGCCCGAGGTGAACGCCGCGCTCAGTAAGATCCAGATGGTGGGATATTCCCAGAAAATTGTGAGTATCTTTAAAGCTATCCTCAGCTTAAAAGCAACAGCCTCTTGTTTCTGGAAGTGTCTGAGAAAAACACTTCCTTTTTGCATTTTCCTTCTAAGTCCTCTGTAAGACTAAGCAGAAACCAACCACTAGATTAGTCTAGTTACCCTAGCCCAGAAAAACAAAACAAAACATTATTTTCTGTGCCTCCTAGGATATCCCACTCTGCCTCTTAGGGAGGTTCTTTCTGGTGGAAATCAGGGAGTATCCATTTGTTCCTCCTTTTCCTCAGGGGACACAGATTTTAAGGCGTACCTGGGAATTCAGAATTGAGGTGGGAGGATGTACCAAATGAATGCATCCTCTCTGTCTGCAAGCCACATCCCCTTCTGAGTTGCTGTATCTCACTTCTGGGAATCTTTTGAGTGCTTTAGCATCCACTTTCTTTCATGTGGCAAATTAGGTATTGTAAACAGAATATAATGGTCCACCTGAACTTTAAATACTCCTTTCCAAAGCGTTCCTTGCTGAAGTTTGTTGCCTGTTCCTATAAGCTTCCTAAATGCAGCCTGGCCAGGCAGAGGATTAAGACCCCAGTTAATTTCTCGGTTGAGAGGAATGGTGCAGTGTGAACGTGGATGCCAGAGAGCCTGCATGGAAGAGGGACTTCATGAAGTTCCTGCCCTAGGAGAAGCATCGCTCAGAGCATGTGTCCTGTTAGATATGGAGAAATGGCAACAGCAGATATAAAGCTTAGGAAACTGGCCCTTGAATAGCAGATTTAATTTTTTTTTTTTTGGTTGATACCATTGATGTAAAATGACCTGTTCTCTCAATGTGTGTTTCAGGAGCTGTTCGGTGCCGTGCAGGTCACTCCGCTCAGCTCAGGCTACGCCCTTGGAAGTTCCAACTGGATTATCCAGTCGCACTATGAGAAGGTTTCCTATGTGTCGGGATCTTCCCTGCTTACAACCCACCCTCAGGTACAGCCAGTTTTCTTAGTCCTCTACTGGGAGAGGTGTCTTTTCTCAAAAAAGGACAGCAGGGTTCACACCTGCTGGGATTGGGTGTCATGTAGAAGTACAAATGCACATTAGTTAGCAAATGCCTAAATCCTCAAGGGGCACGGAGCAGACCTACTATCCCGGTAAGAGGTGCATGGAAAAGACAACCAAAATCTTGTGTTACTGATAATTTTGTGTCAGTCTACTTACCAGGTGTGAAATTCTCCTTCACCTTAAAAAGAAAGATTCCAACAGCGTTAAACCGTAGGGCGTTAGTAACTTTTTTTAAAAAAAAATCCATAATTCACTAAAGAGTCTTTACAGACAGTTCACAGACTGCTTCTATATCACTTCTGAAACATCCTTCCTTGGAAAAAAATGATAGCTAACTGGCTGCCAACATTTCCACCCTGCTCTGCTAAGGGCAAAGTCTTTATAGTGCTGTAGATGTAATTTCCAGTAAATTAATTCTCTCTAGATCCATAAATTCTCAGTGGAAAGAATGGCCTGAAGTTTGCAGTACTATGTACTTTCGAAGTTGTCAAAATAGTTGAAAGCAATATTAGCAGGAGATATTTAAAAATAATTTAGAAAATATGTCAGGTTCATGATTAGTAATTTCCCCCAAGGTGAGTATCTTCTAAAGAGCTTTGCTTTTGAGCATCCTTCATTTAAAAGCTTTATCTCAGGAGCTGAACAACTACAACAGATAAACTCTCCTTATTAATATGAGCGTACTCAACTGCATGCAGTGTATCAGAGTCTCTAGATCTCTTTCTCTCACTCCAACTGCAGGAGAAATAATAGCAGTTAAGGCAGGGTAGTTTCAGGTTTTAAAAGTGCAGGAAAAGGCCTGGCTTTATCAACTGTGAACATCTCTAGTTTCTAACAGGAGATAAAATCTGAACTATTCACTTTGCTGACACTGTTGTTTGTCCCACAAGCCATAAACCCTCTCCAAGAGCCTAACTTTTTAGCAGGCAATCTGTCACTCTTTGCATTAACTCTGTGTATTAACACAGAGTTTGAAGGACTAGCTTACCAAGCAGTTGAAATTGCTCCAACTGCTTTTTCCTTGTTGTTTTCCATGTCACAATAGTTGGTGAATATTGTCTGTGTATCAGATATCTAGTGTTTTTCTAGAAAATGATATCCTGTTAATCAGCATATGTTTATTTAAAAACATATCCCAACCTTTTTGAATCATAGTGAAATATTAGCAGTCTCCCAGTCTTCTGGAACTCTCTCCACAGTGATTAAAAATGAGTATCAGTTATCCAGGGTCTCTTTAGCAGTTTGCTTAGGATGACTAAAAACACATGGAAAAATATTTCTTCCTCTTTCATCTTGTCTAATATTCACAGGAAAACACTGGAAAGCGCTTCCTTCTCAAAAGATACAAACAAGATGGGGTTCAACCAACCACAATGTCCCCCTACATCTTTCCTCCATGTCCTCCCTTCTGCCAGCCCTGATTTCTGTGTTCACACAGTGAAGTGCTTTGCAGAATGGATCCTTCAGGAAAACACTGCATGTTGGATGTTGGGGTTGATCTTGGATGCGGCAGCAGCAGGAATCTCCTTTAGATCCTCGGTGGGTCTTTGTGAGAAGTTGTAGTGAGGGATTCAGCAAGACTCTATTAGCTGAAAATAGCTGAAGAGCTTTAAAGGGTTTGTCTGAGAGCTAGGTCTGGCACCATGACTTGTTCCCCGTACTGTTGGCAGAAGAGTTGCTATTAAAAACGTTGCCTCAACCTCTGTTGAAGCTCAAATTGACACAGTTGCCTGTTGGCACCAAAGCAGAGAACAGGAGTTGACAGCACAGGTTCAGACATGTCACTAAAAGCTTTTTAAGACATCTTCTTTACATTAACCCACAAAAATCAATGCAAGCCCTCTCAGTGCAGTAGCAGCTGAAATTATGTGTATCTAATATGGCTTAATCGTTATGTACATTATCACAGGCAGATTCGATATTATTTTTTATTGCATTATTGGCATTTCATTTTCACGAACACACGATAGAGAGTCAAAGATTGTGATAAATCTCATTTAACAGGTTGGTTCTACAAGGTGATACACGGCTCAGACTTCTGGTGAGATTCGTTGCCCTGCACATTTGACGGTGCAAAATCTTTCTCCGCCACGTCAGAATGGCACTGGGTGACTGTGAGCGAGGGAATTGCACAGGGATCTTCTAAATTCAGTAGAGGAAGTCGCTTTATTGGTCTTCTAGCTGGACACAGAAACCTTTCCTGGTTGATGATGCTGGAGAGGGTCTGTGGAGAGTGAATATCCATGAAATCCCACTCAGCTGGCCACAATTGCCCTGCCTTGCTTGAACAGCAGTGGTGGACAGTGCATCCCAGCCTAGAGGGAGGCTAAAAGCTAACTTTTCAGCACAGCCATAGTGCATCTGCAGAGGCAGAAGTGGATTTTGCCACTGCAGGTTGGGTTCATACTCAACTTTGAGTATCAAGAATATGACTTTCAGTATAAGGTCCTACTTAAACATAATTCCCAAATCTCTGCTGACTGTTTGCTAATGGAGAGAAGTGGACGTGCACTTTTGTGTAGTAAAGTGCGAGGAAAGTCTGTCAAATGATCAGCCTGGGTGAAAGAAATGTGAGCCTTTACACACAGTCGAGGCAGAAGCAACATCTGCTTTAACTGCCTGCCAGTGGCCAAGTGCCACCCTGTGTCCCTGGACCATTTAATCATGCTCAGGACAGCCACCCACAGCACTTGAGCAGCAGAATCTAGGGGATTGCACCTATAGCCATAGGGTGTCAGTATAACATACACTCTGAACCTGGCAGATCACAGTTCATACCCCTGTGAAAACATCATTTTTTTATATATTTACAGTTGAATCTGTGATTTTTCAGCTGTTTCCAGGCAGTTAGCAGCTTTTAAGGAAATATTTATCTGTTTGGCCTGATATTATAGGTACAGTTAAAGAAAGAGATGCAGATGTTTATTTCTTAAATAAATAAGCCAATGAAAACAATATTAAGAATTCTAAAACAATTTATCTATTCTATTGGTATTTATCTACCAATATAGTGTTAAACCCTGCCTGCCTGCACTGTCACGTCCTCCTCAAATGCTCCTCTTTAGTGCAGCTCCTGAGGCCATGACATGATTAGTCTGTGGAGAATTCTGCTTGGAGATGGATCCAGTTACGGTTCACTTGCATGTTTTGTGCTCTATGATGTAGGTAAACAGTTGCATGTGTTCCTTATTAACTCGAGTTGCATCTCCACAGATAAATGGATATGAAATTTAAAATGTTCGGTGCATTCTCCTTCTTGGTCACTCTGTTTTCTTTCTGGATTGCAGTCCTCTTGATGCAGACCAGAGAAACCTGTCCTCTGACTCTGTTACTGATCTTATTTCACTGTGTTCTGTTTCAGCCTATGGACCAGACTTCTCTTAAAAACAGTGACGTTCTCATCCTGACGGGTCTTACCCAAATCCCTACGGCCAACCCAGATGGCATGGTAGGAGAGTTCTGCAGCAACCTGGGTAGGTCATTCCTGAAAGCAGTCCTTGGCTTATTTTATCATCCTATTCATTGCTTAGGGTAGGAAATAATTCTGAGATTCCTGGAATTGAGTAAGTTGTCCAGCTATAGCTCCTGGCATAAAACTAGCTGTTTAGATTTTACGACGTGCTTCTGATGTCATTAATACAGTAAGTGCTTGGAAAGACACAGGTTTTACCTAAAATGTTTTGGAATGGAACAGGTATAATGAGATTTAATCATCTGCTGCTCTTGGTTGCTAAGTATGTCACTTAGCTGCCAACAGGCTCTGTGTTGCCCAGCTTTTGGATATCACTCCCAGCTGAAATATTGTTATTTCCTTCCTGTATCTTAGCCAGTATAAAATTGTTACATGCTGTTTTTATGACTTTCAGTTTGGAAAACACACACATCTGCTTCCCTTACACCTGATTTTTAAATATACCAAAAGCAAACAGAACGATCTCTGTTTAAAAAAAAAAAGTATGTTGAGATATATTTATAGACCCCAGAAATATAAAACCTAATCAGACGCTTTCACAGCTGGAAAAGCTGATAATTGCAAAGCTGTGATATCAGTGTGAGTGGCAGCATTTTGCAGCCTGTTTGCTATGTGACATCCAGTGCTGTTCTCTCCTTTTTCTGCCTTCCCCCACCTCAGCTCCTCTGTGCTCTCACCCTTCTGCCTTCAAAACACTTGTTCATATTTGCCCTGCTCTGGATTGCCTGTGATGAGGCATCTTCCCTTTATTTTGCACTAATTCCTGCAAAGAAAACTGAAACACTTGTGGCTTGTGACAAAGGTTATCAAGAGACTTTAAAAGTCTAAATCAGTGAATCCTCACTGTATGTGAGTATCCTAGTACCTATTTCATGCCTGGAAGAAGTGTGAGTATAGCTAGGAGATTTAGCCAAGGTAGCAGGAAAAAGATGGGAACAGAACCAAAGACCAAATAATTCTTAGCTGCACTTCTTGCATACGTGAATGTACTCTTGGAGAAGAAGAAAAGACAATAGTTCTTTCCATTTTAAAATCCTTGGGCATGGTCATGGAGGCTGAATATCTATGTATTTACTGCCTGGAAATCCCACTGCAAGGCTAACATGGTAGTGGAAGGGGAATAATATGAGATGTGGTAGATTCCTTTGGGAGCCAACAATCTTAAGCTCAAATCAGATACTCCTATTTAGGGCATAGGTTTCAGTTCAAACAGGACTCATCGGTCCTGATGTGAGCAATACAAGGTAAGATTATGTGGTTTCTCTTTCTTTTTTAATGAGAAGACAAATTAAATGATCCTTTTTGGGTATGAATGCTTATGAATAGAGTAGGTTTTGCTGTTTTATAAGAATGGTCTCCCTGAGTTAGATCAAAGATCCTCTCTGCTGAAACCCTGGCTCCAACAGCAGCTGTAAGCAGATGCCTAGAGTAAAGCAGAAGAAAAGGGCAAGGTTATGTGATACCTTCCCCTCATAATGTTGTATCCTTCAACTATTTTTATTTCAGGAATTTCCTGAATCAGATGTGTGGCTTTTGTGTAGTTAGTAATGCTCAGTGGATTTCTCTTCCAGGAACTTATTTAGCCTTCCCTTGCAACTGCATAAATTCTCAACACCTGTGACTTCCTTCCCTATGTGATGCATATGTTTGTGTGTGTATATGGAAGGTGTATATGTGCATGCATGTATTATGAGTTGTATTTTCATTGTTTTTACACATTTCAATGCCATTACCTTTATGAGTTGTGACAGCTGAGCTCAGGTTACCTTGCTGCTCTTGCAAGAAATGTGGAGGTCACTGGTATCTCAAACTGCAACAGCTGCTTGCTGAGTGAGCAGGAGTGACACTTTTGTTAATTATAACGTTTTTAAAACATTAAGCAAAGTCGTAAAGTTCTAGCTTGGGCAAAAGCAAAATGAAAAGATGATCACATGTAAATAAATGTGTTGCATACATAGATACAGACATCTGCACAAGTTGCTCTAATTTACAGAAATATTCTGAACTATTAGGAAAGTTTTGCTTCTATCTTGAGTGAAATAAATAAATGAGAAGACTAAAGAGCAGAGGAAAATGCTAAATGTTAAAATGATATTGCTGTAAGAATCTGGAGTTTAGTGACATTTGCCAAAAACTGCAGTGACTTGGAGAAAGTAAATGATTTTATAAAGAAGCAGTGTTAAGGCTGACTCACCAGCAGCATTACCAGGAGTATCAGGAGTATTCACACGTCCACCCCAACTCCAAGAGAAGAAAAGAGTGAATCCGTTTTCTTGCAGATGTGCAAAAAAGTCCAAAAAAGCAGTAGGTTACTGTGAAAAGCAATCGAGTAGGCCAGACTGATCACAGCGATTTTTCATACGGTTTTTGCATTTCAAAAATGTTCAGAGGACTTCACAGGAAGCCGAAACGACACAAGCTAAACCCTCTAAAGCAGACACTTGGAAATATCCCAAGACGTGTCTCATAAGGTAATGGCATGTTTGTGACTAAGTGTTGGTAAGCACAGGAATGGAAGTGTGAAGATTTCACCTTCATCTCAGTTTTCATCCCGGCGTGTCGGGCTGTAGACATGACTCCCATTATTACTGACTCACATGCACCATTTCTCCTCTGCATTTTAAATCCCACGTTCTCACATCTCCACGTTCTCCTCAGCGTGGCCCAAACCCCCTTTCCCCTGTACTCAGCAGCACTCTGCAGCTTGAGAAAAGCAGTTATATTTTTACATTGCCTTGGGCATCATCAGCAAAATTGCTGGACTCCGTCTGCAGGGACAGTGTGTGAGATTTTGTGTGTGTGTGTGTATTTATATAAAGCAGAAAAGAGCACAGTTGGCTTTTCAGGTGCCAGCTTGACCTTGTGCTGGCAGCTGTTTGCAATGCAAGTGGCTCATCGTGAGCTGTAAATTGAACAACTTGTTACGGAGCCACTGAAGAAGACTAAATTTGAAATGCCAAGATTATTATACAATTTTTTCAAGAGAGTACATCCATCAGTCACAGAGATAAATTGGACTTTAAACAGCTTTCGAGTATACAGGTCCTCTTACAGACAACTGTGGAAAGTTGTCCTAATGCTACAGAAAGCCAGATTGAGGCTGTTACTTGAATAGGAAGTAATGCACTTGTATTTTTTTTTTTAAATTCCTGTTTTAGACAAGCTGGGGATAATTCTTACCCTTTGCAGAACCACGTAAGAGCCCCTGCAAGACACTCAGTTGCACTGAGCACCACAAAGAGACATAAATTTGCCCTGAGGAAATGAGAGGTTTATTCTAAGCCAAAAAAAGGTGACATGGTCCTCTCAATAATGGGGACCTAGTGGGTAGGATAGCTGGTGTCCCAGCTTTGGGGACCCCTCTCCTGAGCTTTTCTGGCTGGTCACTAATGCCCCCTGCAGCTGTCTCTGCCCCATGCAGCATCCTTGCTAGAAGGTGGGTACTGACCAGCCCTCCTTCTGCATATAAAATTCTTGGGGGCCTGATGGAGCAGTGGAAATTGTGTTCCTGGAGTCCAAGGTTTAGCTTCCAGCCCCCCAGCTGCCTTTGGAAATACCATTTTTAATCCTCTCATGCCTTTCTTCACATCCTGCTTATAGATGGGATGGTTTAACTTTGCCCATGTAAGACATATATTATGAGACGTTGCTGGGATGGTTTGTAATCTTTGGAAATACCATTTTTAATCCTCTCGTGCCTCTCTTCACATCCTGCTTATAGATGGCTTGGTTTAGCTTTGCCCATATAAGACATATATCATAACATGTTGCTGGGATGGTTTGTAACGCCTCAGTTCTAGACAAATAGAAGGTGTTGCTATTCCTATTCACAAATATTTTGAGGATAGAGTTGGTATGTGACCCAGAGACAGCCTAGGCAATAAACCCACCTCACTGCAGCTGATGTTGTGCACATATAAAGCAGTTCTGTAGGTGCCTTTGGCTGCTATTTGTTGCTGAGACCAGCACGTAATAGGCACTGACTCCTGAAAGGAGTTAAGCACCTTAAATGCATATGAAAAATCCTGCTACATGGTCCGTGTATCTCCCTAGGCTCCATAAAACCTTTAAATATTTGGCTATAAAAATCTTCCCTGAGCATGTAGGTGGGGCAAAAAGACCCTTAATGTGCTAGATGGGTACCCCATCAGGGTTTGCAATAAACTGAAGCCAAGGAAGTGATTATGGCAAGATTTAATACATGTGTTTTCAGCCTCTTTCGCAGCTTTTTGTGTAATGCCTTCATGCCTAATGTTACTGTTGCTGCATTGCAATTATCAGCCCATGGTTTCAGCCCATGGCCACAGGTGAAAGCCTAGTGAGGCAGCAATTGCTCAGGGAGAGGCACAACATATTTCTTCTTTCCCATAAGATACAGCATTTTTGTGATTCATTCTGTCAAAGAGCAAAATGTTTGCTCCCTGATTGCTTTTGCTGTGTGCTCTGATTTGTTTTGGTTGCAGAGAAAGCCTATTTTTCTTCCCTTCATTTTGTCTCTTTTGTCCCATACCAACTACAGTTCATCAAGGTTTTTAATTGTTCTGGCTACATTCAAAGGAAATAGAAATATTTCCTTTTAAAAAAGAAAAGCATCCCCAACTTGGAGCTTGGAGAAGAGTTTGAAATCCCTGGATTTTCAGGCATCTTTGGGAAAACTGAGTACAGAAGCATTGACCACGTGTGCAGTTTTCAGCTGAGGCCGGTGAACCGTTGTCCTGCCCCTGTGCACGGAGAGCTAAGAGTTTATTTTGATGGGAAGATGTTTTGTGTCCTGTGGGACAGGATTTATCCTTTCTGCTAGTGCAAGGCTGCCCTCTCGTGTCAGGAGTTTCCATGTGCTCCGTCTGTTGGGGTGTAATCCTGGAGAAAGCTGGTGGATGTACTGTGATCAGAAGCTTTTATATGTGCACAGTGTTCTGCTTATTCACACAGTAGCTTCTTTCTATACTTTGTATAAGGTTTGGATTAAAGGAACTCTATTGAAACATTTAAATGTGACGCCTGTTCATTGATTTTTCTCTTTCTCCCTTAGCTATGACTGTCCGTAACGGAGGAAATGTTCTGGTTCCTTGCTACCCCTCAGGAGTGATATACGATTTGCTGGAGTGCCTGTATCAGTATATTGACTCTGCTGGACTCTCCAATGTCCCTTTTTATTTCATCTCACCTGTTGCCAACAGCTCCCTCGAGTTCTCCCAGATCTTTGCTGAATGGTAGGTGTTCGTAAGCCCCTTCATCAGGCTGAATTCATGCATCCAGCTGTGGTAAATAGGTATGTGCAGGTTGTGACTGCTTGGCATATTCCAATACGGGCTTGTTTGGAAGAGAAGACACATTTGTTGAGTCACAAGCTTGTGAATCTGCGTGCAGGTAGATGTTCTCTAATTAGGGAAGCATCGCTTCTTGTAGAACACATACTGAATGTGTTTACAAACTCAAATATTCTCTGCTTTTTGGTGCTGGCACTGATGAGGACATGACATACCTGACTTGAGGGACTTTTGGCTGTGCCTGCTTGCTGATGCAGCACCCACAGAACTATCCTGCAGTCTCCCTCTTTAGGCAAAATAGATTTATTAGACTTTAATTTACAGAGTTCTGCAAAGGGGAACCTGAGCGCTCGTGAGTGTTCCTAACTTCTAACATACCAAGAGGGCTGTAGAGCATTACATAGAGTTATTACGCCTTCTCTCCCCTTCATCCTCTCCAGATTTTTTAATCTGGAATTCAGACAAGAGATGCCCTGGCAATCCAAGCAAAATTGATCCATCAGGAGATTTGTAAAGATGATTGAAATCTGGGACATTTACATTACATTACTTTCAGTGAAAGTAGGAAAATCAAGCCTTGATGTCCTGACCAATCTTCAATGTACTCACCAGGGTGTACTGGTGCACGTGGTTTATAGTTAAACAACTGTTTGGATCGTGTGGACGTGGCATGATTCAGACACCCGAGTGTTTAGTCACCATTTACTTGAGTTCTACTTCTCAGTGGTGCTTTATCTTCAAAAGGCAGCACCGACATTAGCAAGTCCCCGAGCATGTGTATGTGCAAGGTGAGTGTTTTACTTGGGTGGAAACGGAGTCAGAGGTTGCGGTGTCTCCAGAATAGAGGTTTGGGACAGAACTAGGATTTCAGCCTTCTAATTCTGCTATTTAGTCAACTGAACGAAATTTCCTGTTCTTAGAATCTCAGAATTTATCACATTTAGTTTGTCCCAGACACATAGCTCTATAATAAAGGAAGACTGTACGAGATGGTTAGTGCTTCCCAGAAGAAGCCACCAGAACAGTCCCTACAGATAACTGTAACATCCCATAAGCCTCTGACAAATCTCTTCCTTAGCAACTTGCAATAGAATGAATCAGGACTGTGACTAGAGCCAGTTAACAGCATTCAGTATTTGTGTTCCAAGAATAAATGACTGATATAAAATAGTGGGTAACAGTGAGCATTATGCATTGATGAGAGGCAGGTTGCCAACATCATAGTTACAGTAATAAAAATTATAGGAGGACTGGATTAAAATGAGCGAAAGGAGCAAGTCATTGCTGAGAAGTGGGATGAGGCAAGTGGAATTTCTCTAGAAGATGATCTGGCTTTGCAAAAATTGCTGAAGTCTGCCTAAGAATTGGCAGGGGTGTTAAGATACAAGCTTGTCTTCAGTAATCAAGGGGGTCTGTTGCATAGTGTCTACAAAATTACTTTTAGTTGCCTTGGGCCTTTCTCTAGAAGATGATCTGGCTTTGCAAAAAATGCTCAAGTCAACCTAAGAAATGGCAGGAGTGCTAAGATACAAGCTTGTTTTAAGTAATAAAGGGGGCCTGTTGCATACAAAATGTCTTTTAGTTGCCTTGCACTTTTTTAAAATGGTTTTGCTAAGACTGAATGCTTGTGTCCCATTGGTATTGGTCCTTTAAACACAAAGAGCGGTGGCAGCAAAATAAATAAGTGGTTTTGCACCTGATACCCAGAGAGAAAATGTCCTTCTCCAGCAAAGGCCTAACAGTAGATGGCAGCAGATCCTGCAGGATGTTCTGCAGCTCTCTAACCCAGCTTATTTTCCTTCTCTTTTAAAGGCTGTGTCACAACAAACAAACCAAGGTGTATCTTCCAGAGCCTCCCTTTCCCCACGCCGAGGTAAGGAAACCAAGGCCTTGCTGATTGCTCCCCTCTCAGAGCAAATGGCTTTCTGGAACCCAGCTCTGTTTTTCTGATTAATGCTTCTACAGCTATTCACTAATTTCACATTATTATTCTTACAAGTTCTTTTTCTTCTGTGATTAACTTCAGGATTGCAAGGTGGTTTTCCCTCAATTCAGAAATTAATTTCAGCCTATGACTTACATACAGCTGCCTGTTTTCCTTCTCCTGTGGTGTACACACAGATGAGCATTTGCTCATATCTGATTGCACACACAAATATTCCCTTTGTCCAAGCAGTTTATTTCAAGTGTGTAAAACTAAGACCTTGTTTTCAGAGACAGTTTAGTCATCCCAGCTCCTGCCTCCCTCACTGGAACGGGCACTGGAACAGGAGAAAAGACATCTTGAAATAGAGGTTTGATATAAAAAAGAGAAAGCTTCGGCACCGAGTGCTGTCATTGGCAATTTTATATGAAATGACTTGAGCTAGCATCTCGGTGAAGGTCCTGTAGGAAAGAAAAGATAGGAAAGATAGAGGAAAGATATAGGGAAGATAGGAAGGCCCTTATGTTTTGGAGGGATCTTTTCAGTAACAAAATACATATTTTGAGGTGTTTTAGCCAAGCAGACATTCAATAAATGTGCCCTAACTCCTGCCTTTAGAGTTATCTCATATGTCAAGAGAGGGAATCTTCAGTTGTCTCCACTGGGAACAGGCAGATGGGAGTAAATGGGAGGCAGGCCGGGAAAGGGAGCGATGAGTCTGAGAAATGAGTTGGGTTAAATTGTGCTTATGGCCTGTGCTCCTAGAACCTGGCTCTTTTGTTTCCTATGATCAAAGCAGTGTTTGACAGGATGTGCAGAATGGCCATTGTGGGCTCCAGAGGCTGGAGATTAAATGCATTTTCTGCATTTCAAGCAGGATGTGCATTGCATTAGGAATAGTCTGTCACTGAGATAAATGCAGATTGCACAGCAGGCCACCCATTCACCACCTCTTTTTTAAACCTAATAAAACTGATCTTAGTGTAGAACACTGCAGCCATGCTGCTGGCAATGCTTTCTAATTTCCCCTGCCTTGTGCTTTGCTTGTTGATCCCCAGTGTCTTTGGTTTCATTGACATCCTATATTCTACCATGGGGCTTTGCTGCAAAATTTGAAGTTCACAGCATGCATTGGATCTGGCAGGTTTAAGTGAAAGCCCTTCCAAAAATGGGAAGGCAAACGTGCAGCTGTCAAAGACTGGATTAAGCAGCCCGTCTTAGACGATGGCTCTTTGTGTTTTATAGAGTGATAACTGTGTCCTCTAATTTTTAGGACATTTTAAATTCTCCAGAGGCCTGTCGATAACAAGATTCTGCCAAATTACTGTTTAGCTACTCAGAAATTTCTCTGTGCTGCATGTGTAGATCAAGGTAATTATCTAAGAAAGGATTCACAGCAAAAGATCATGTTCCTTGTGGCAGAATGAAGTGCACAGAGGGAGTAATGTGACTGTCACAGCTACAGGCTTGGGTTGACAAGGCCAAATCATATAGGCTATGACCTACAAAGCTGGGGTTTTTTATCATAAAAATGCATAAATAGCTTTAGCTAGCCTCGTGGATAGCATTCCTAGGAAGCCATCCTTAGGCTAATTTTTTTCCCTAAGGGTTCCCTTAACTGTTTAAGTCTTAAATGGCAGGAAATAGTGCGTATGGACACCCTTGTGGCTCCCAAACTTTTAAAGGGCTGTCCCCTAAAAGGCCTTCAGTGCTGAGCTGCTATCTGAAGTCAGTGCTGCCCATGTCCCAGGAGGTCATCGAACAAAACTGAGATTTCCTGCTTGGGTGTTGAGTTACGGCCGCTGGGTAAATACTTGGAGAACAGAAAAAATCCTGGGAAGTGGAATAACCTTCCCTGGGCCGGACGATGGATGAAATAACCCAGTAAGTCTCTTGCCTGCAAATTTGTGATACATTTTGGCTGTTTTGGAATTGTTTAGTGGCCTTGGGCATGTAGCAACACCCTTTTGCAAGCTGCACTAATAGTAAAACCAGAGCAAAGTAGCACCCAGGCAAAGGAAGAGTGAGTCTGTTATTTCACTTAGCGCCTTTCCTAAGGTCATTAGTCACTGAAGTTTAGACATGCTTGAGAACACCAGCTCAGATTGCTCCTTTCTGTCCTGTGAAATGTGTCCCTTTGGTTTTAAACACTCAAAGACCATTGAGATTTAGATGATGGACATGTAACACAACCACACTTACCATCCCCTCGCAGCAGTGCCAAATGTCCATGTCCTGTGATCATCACGTGCCTTTGATTCCTTGTTGCAGCCCTTTGAGGGACAACCACAGTGGACCTTTTATTCGCCTGATTTTCAGCTGCTTTGGGCTGCATTCCAGTTTAGTGCTGTCATGCTGCTTCTGTGGAGAGGAACTGTTTGGTTTCTGCTTCTAGGAAATACAGAGTTTGATCAAATAAAGAAAAGAAAGGGGAGAATCTTCAGGTGACACTCTGTATCTAAGTCATATTATGTGAAAGATCTATATAACCTCTTTTCAATACTATCCTTAACTAATTCACTATTTATACGTAGGCAAAAATCCAAAGTTTGCTCTTGCAGAGTATCAACACTAGGCTCAGTTACAGTGCTGTTTTGGTGTCATTTTAAAATGAAATGGTCCTAATACAAAGCTGGCTTAACTAGCCTGGTCGTGGCCATAGCATCAGGCTGGAAGAGAACAAGGGCTGCTGTTTGCCCTTGGTGTCTGCTGTGTTTCCAAACCTCCAACTTCACAACCTCTAGAGTCAGGGATTCTGCTTAACGGCACTCCAGACTTTTTAAAATGCGTATCAGAAGCAGGCATCAAATTATCATTTCAATTGGGTGGGTTGTTACTGGAGAATTGCCTCGTGTCTTCAAAGTGGCGGTAGGCTGGCGCTGTGTAAAATCCACGGAAATTGCCCGTGATGAAAGGATGTGCTTAGCTGCTCACTTGTTGGAAGACAAGAGGGGATTACTCAGACATGCCTATTAGTTATTAGCTAGCATTAATAATGTGCCTGGCATGATACATCAGAGAGGGACAGGCCAGGAAATGAGCCTCTAATTATCTATAGAACAAGTCCAGCACAGCACGCTGTCTGCTGCCGAGATGGTGTGTTCTTGTAAGCGGTATAAACAGCAGTGTTTAAAAACAAACAAGGAAAAAATCCCCCAAACTGTTGCCCTGCTCAGTCTCTTGGAGCAGTGGGTTCCTCTGGTGCCTGTGGATAGTGTAGAAGAGCATTTACTTCCCTTAATCCATTCCAGTGTTATTACTTTGGATCCTTTAGCCATTGCTACAAGGGATGCTGCAAATAGCATCTGATGCATCATTTTCTCTGCCATTACTGGGTTTATTTTGTTCTCTCATACTCCTCCCTCTAAACTATGTTGTTTGAAGCTTTTTCATCTCTTTGCAAAGAAATTTGCTGAGTTTCTGATTTAGGCTACCTATTCTGAACTCCTCCTTGTTCTCCTGGGATGAATAAAACCAGACTCACTGCTCACCTCTGCAGAGAACCCCAAATACTGCAGCTCCCTCCTCTTTGCTCCCCGCTTTAATATGGAATAAAGATTTCTTGTATCTCCTCCCACACAGTCACTGCATAGAAGTTGGTTGTTCCTTGGCCTGGTGATTTGTTCCCTCAAAGCTACCTTGAGTGAAGAGGGAATCCACTTTCTTCTTTTTTGTATGAGCAAGGAATATGGGCTAAAATGCTTCAGAGTTGTAGGAGGATCTGGGAATCAGTTCTTACTGAGATTGCTGTGAAAGCAGTGCCCAGGTTCTTGCAGATGCTTTCAAAGGCACCAACTGCTGTGTTTCAGCTGGTGCAGAAGCTGAAAGGTCTGTGCTTATGGAAAGCAGCTCCATGGAGAGGGATTTGGGAGTCCTGGGTGACACCAAGTTGCCCGTGAGGCAGCAACGTGCCCTGGCGGCCAAGAAGGCCAATGGGCCCCGCGGTTGCATCAGCAGGAGCGTTGCCAGCAGGTCGAGGGAGGGGATCCTGCCCCTCTGCTCAGCTCT